GACACTGGCGCCACCGGGCCCTCTGACCACCACCAGTAGGCAAACATGGAGTTAGTATCTTGCCCAAGGATATTTGGATGCAGCCATGCAGCCAGGAGGCAGCCTGGGATCGAACCACCGACCCTCTGATTAGTGGCTGACCTGCTCTGCCACCTGAGCTACAGCCACCCAACACACTATTTGAGAAATTTGGCATCCAAGTTCTTTTCTTATCACCTCAGACTCAACAGGGTAGCTGCTTTTTAGGTGAGGCAGACAGGCCTTGTTCCTGGACTGGAGCTCCGCAATCCTTAGCCAGTCTTCAGGTCCACCATCAGGCTCGTTTTCTGCTCCAACGCAGAAGGTACTGGTGGCTGAAAAGAAACAGATGACGCAAAACAGTTACACATACACACAAATCTCAGGTTTTTCAGTTGTTACTATGAACGTGCACCTCCAATTTCAGCTTCCATCAAAAACAGTGATTCCCAAAGTGTGGGCCAGCGTCCCCTTATGGGCCACAAAGGTACTGCAGGTGGGCCACATCAGTAACAGAAATTTAGCTTGAAATCATTCACAAATACAAGTTACATACTTATATAAATTTAGTTATATAAAAAGTGAATTATAACTAGTAAAGGGAGGTGGTTAGTTGAAATAATTTTAATTAAATAATCTTTACAATTGTAATAACTGCAATTATAATAACTGCAATTATATTTCTTCCATAATCAAGCAGCCTGAGTTGCTCCAACTATACAGTAATTGAATAATGTTATAACTGCATTATAAATAATGCTGTTTCTCTCTGAAGGCTTATTAGAATTACGATTTAAAACTTAAATGAAATTCCATCACGATTCTGCAACTCTTTCCTTTCAGGAGGGAAAACTAATCCTTTTACTCACGCTGTACATGGATGGTGCTCCGTCTGTACCCTGGAAGCCCAATGAGTTGGTCGCTGGCAGAGCTGGTCCTTCTGGCGGGAGTGTCAAACAGCTCCATAGACACGGGCCGGGCAGAGTTTGCATTAGCAAGGTTTGGCTGGGAGCGAGCTGAAGCCAGGCTATAGAAGGTCTCATCAGCTTCACCGCAGCCCGGGGTCTTCTACAGATCAGAAATCAACAGTCACAACTACAGTAATACTCGGATGGAAGTTTTGGGATATTTAGAAGGGGAAACGTTGGACCACTTAAATGTATTGTTAAGGTGCTGCGGTGAATTATTATGTGCTGCCAACAAGCAAGTGATGTACACAAAGATCTATTAGTCAACTAATCTTTTAGTATGATAGTTAAAACTTGAGACAGTGATTGCTTTTTAGAGAAAGGCATCATCAGAGAAATTTTAGAAACTGGTTAAATGAAACAATAACAATAATACTAGTAAACCTTCATCAGCATAGTGACTAAATTACATAAATAGTGAAGTTGAAACACCTGTAATTAAAAATAAATACAGAGAATATTAAAAATGAACCAATTTTATCAGTGTGTATTATTGTGAACATGCAGTAAGCGTGTGTGAGTTTCCTCCACCTTGGTCATAGTGATGTTTATAACCTGTGTGGTTCTGCGGCGTTTGACTGATGAAGTTGGATTTTTTTGGGTTGAATCCATAATTTCCTCTGCACCGGTCCTGAGAAAGAAAAGGAATTTGAAAATGAAAGATTTTGAAAGCAATTAAATCAGTATTGTTTCTAATACATGAAATACAATTTAGACACAATTATCTGTACAATTGTGTCCTATTCAGTTTTATACATTAAAATTACATTTAAGAACAAATGTTAAAGGGTCTGAATAATAAATTATTTTACTACAGTAACCAGGAAATAAAGTACTCACTCCTTAAAGGAGTAAAGAGTTTCAAAGTGTTTTGTAATCGCACAATATTAGGGGACAAGATATAATCACTGCTAATTCTTAAATCTTGTCTTGATAATAAAACAAGTCTTGGTAAGATCACAACCAATCTAGAGCAAAAAATGTGTAAGGAGTATGACCACAAAAGCACCTCTTGACTTGTCTGGTGTTTATAGGAGTAAAGTACAAAGTTTCCAGTGACTCGGCCTTTAGACCCCGGCGTTTGGCTGCCAAGCGTTCTGAACTGCGAACAAGTGGTGTGCTGGATTCATCGGGCGCTGAGAGTTTTCTGAAAAAGTTTGTTTTTAAAAAAAGAAAGAAAACAGTGTGCATTAATCACTACCCCCACTAAATCTTTCCAAATCCAATGTAACACTTTCACCTTCCACACAGTGAGTGTCTGCATGTATACAGTTGTTTTTGTGAGAACTACCACAAAGGTGATATTCAGAATTTTGGCAGGTGTTTGTGTGTCCAGTGGGACATATTGTGTTTTGTCAGTACTACAGTAGTCATGAAACATCACAGGTGTGTCGTTGGGATTGAAATGAAGTTTGAAGATGTGTGTAGGAACACAGAGTGGAGGCATGTCAGAATTTATGGGCCACAGCCCCTGAAACATGAATATCAATTTGTCATCCCATTTGGATTTTTTCCATTTGTAATGCATTACTGCATCATTGTGTGAGTCATGTAATGCATTTTAGTCCAAGAACACACTGACTTCAGCTGGAGCCATCCTGTACAAGGTGGGCTTCAGTTATATATGTCACAGCTTTTAAAAGATTTTGCATCTCCTCTTCTTTAGAACACCAATCTTTTAACTTTGTTCTGTGCGTTTAATTTATTTTCCCGTCTGTTTGGTGAGCAAGTCCTACAAAAAGATTCTGAGAAACCTTAACCCAACACTTACCTTGTGGAGTTTAGAGAGTCTTCCATACTGCTCTGGTCCAGGCTATCTGAGCTCATAGCTCTCTTCACCTGTGCTCTAGTGCAAACCCCCGAGTTTGAGTAAGGCACCTCAAAGAAACACGAGCTTGTTGCACTGCCTCCATTGGCATGAATCTTATTCTGTACTCTTAAATTCTGGTCAGCACAGGCAAGCTGAAAGTAAAGAAATTGTGACAGAACAGGTTAAAATGCTAAAAAAAAAAATTCAGGTGTGGTTTTAATTTCTTCTATGTTTCTGCTTATTGTGTTCAATCGTCATGCTTTAAACTGCAATACTAACCTGTGCCTCCAAGCTGGCCACCCTGTGTGAAAGTGTCTTCTCATTAGCTTGAGCCTTGTCCAAATCAAGCTGAAGTACTTTCTTTTCCATTATCATAGTGTGCATTTCACGCTCTTTAGCTTCAAGAGAAAGCTTGAGAGCATCCACTTCTTCTTGGCTTTTCTGGAGAAGCTGCTTCTTGCTGTTGTAATGATTTGCAGCCTTCTCCATCTGTGGTATTCAAAACACGTATCTTAATTTTCTAGTCCAGATCATTTATCTCACACACAAAAAAAATTCTCATGAACAAAACAATTATATTAAGAGATAAGCAGAAATAAAAATGATTACATTCTCAAACAAATCCAAAGAGATGTTCAGTCACAAGCAGTAAAATATATTTTGTAACAGTTTCTGGTCACACCAACCTGAGCCTTGTAGTGTTCAGCAGCCTCTGATTTAGTGGCAAGCTGTTCCTGCAGATCTCTCTTGATTAGCTCAATTTCTTCTGCTTTCTCTTGCTCTTTCAGCAATTTCTCATTCTCCATTTTCAGTATTTCCAGCTCTTGCTGCAGTACAGACTCAAGCTTCCGTGAGGCTACATTCTCCCTCTTTAGGGCCAGGTTGGCTTGGAGAAGTCTTTCCTTCTCAAAAACTATGGCTTCGTGATCTTTTTCTGCCTGGAGTATTCTAACCAAAAGCACCTGTTTTTCTTGGACAAGAGTCTCCTTCTCTTTGAGTGTGGTAACCTGCATCTCCTGCACAGTCTCTTTCAACCTGATGTTAGTAACTTGTGTTGCTTCATGTTGTGTCAACTCTGCAGCTGCGGATGCAAGCTGTTGCTGAAGGAGGTTTATTTGCTGAGCAGACTCTTGCTGAGTTTCAACTAATTTCTGCTCTTTGGCCAGAAGCCTTTCCACCTCCTCCTTCAAATCCTGGATCTCATTTTGGAGAACATAGGTCTGTTTGGAGCTCTCCTGTTTTATCTCAGCCACAAGTTTCTCACTGGCTTCAGCTTCAGCTTTTGTTTTTTGTATCACGTTAGCTTGAGCAGTGACCTCCTCTCTGAGTGTGTTTATACTTTGGTCTTTATCAGTTCCAAGTGTCTTGACAACTGACAACTCTGCCTGAAGGACTTTAACCTTCTCCTCTGCCTTTGTGAGAGACTCTCTCATGTCACATACTTGGTTTTTCAGAGTTTCGATCTCTTGTTCTAGCATGTCAGAGTGGATTGAGCCCT